ATCTGATCTTTTTTAGTCATAACCGTTACACAAATGTTACACCCCGCCCAGGTATCAGCCCAGGTAGCACAGCAGGAGCAAAATCCACCTCCTCAAACATGTTCAAAAAGCTTTCTACTAGAAAGAGACTTTTTGCAGTCTTAATAGCAGAACAATTCTTCCCATGTACAGGAAAAATTCTTCCAGTAGAAATTTCTGAAGCTTTTGCAGAAAATGTTCAAAATGAATATTCATGAAAGTTATCATCATTCATACCTGTACATCATACTTGTCAATAATATGTAATCACTTATTGAAAATATTAGCTGAAAATGTGAAGGGTGTTTATTAATATGAAGTGATATGAAGTGAAGTGTAAACCATCATCAATCTGGAAGCATCAATTTGGAAGCATATTTTTGTTTCCCACTTTCTGTTTGGTGTTTAAAGTCTGAAGGTTCTCTATCATAAGGCCTAATCATCAGCCCAGCCTGTCCACAGACCGACAGGCCTGTTCAGGCCCGCGGGCTAACCATTGAGCGCAGACCTCTCATGAATTTATCACAAACTTGTTAATTACACAGGTGTGAAAATGTGAATTCTCATTAATTCAGTGGTTTTCATGGGGTGTTCATGAGGCTAATTGGATGCGGTCTGGATGCGGGCTGGCTAACTCAGGCCGCGGGCTAAAGTTTAGGACTGCCAGGCTAAGCTGCTGGGCATGACGGTGTGTGTTCTAGACCGCCAGGCTTGCAATTTTTAAAGACAAATATCTTGATAAATTTGTACATTCTGACCATAAAAAAAGCAACCTGGTACTGAAGATAGCATGATCTTTCCAATGGCATGCAAAAGTTCACTGTACATCCAGGAATAACAAAGTTGAAAATCAGGGGTTTCAACATAGCTGTCTCAAAATTCGGAAAGTGACATTCCAAAATTGAGGTGACCAGTGTTTGATCTATAGTGTTCAAATGTTGTATCAGAAAAGAAATTGTCAGCAAAGGGCAAAATGCTGATGCAACGTTGACCAAACATCCAAATTGAATGAAAAGCATGAAAAATTTGGGTTCACATATTATTAAGCACAATACATTCTGTTGACATGCTAGGAGCCTGATTTCTAAATTAAAGTACTGTTCTCAGACTGGTTAGAGTTAACATGGATTCCTTACTGTCAGAGACTGGTAATGTAGAAGATTGGTCATGGACTAGAAGCTGGTCAGTATTTCATCAGAATTTCACCATTCGACCAGCAGGTTGTACATTTCAGATGTTCAAGTCATTCTAACTTGAAATTAAGCCTCAAATAATCATTGTTTTTTAACCATTGTTTTTTTAACCATTTATTGAAGGAGTCTCTAATTAGTGACATACTCATTTTTTGTACATAACTTCTAAATGTACATTATTTCTTATGTATATACATTGTAGTACAAAGCCTTACTGACTGTGTTGAAGAGAATTACTTATCCCCCCCTATCCTTCCAGTCGTTCTTCCACACCGTGTTGGAGAACAGTGCCATGTGTCTGTCCATGGTTGATAATAACCTGCGCATCACCAACTGGAACCGTAAGCTGGGCTGTAAGTGTCAGTACAAACACATCGTGGACTGGTGCGGCTGTTCTCCCAACGACTTCAAACCTGACGACTTCCATAAGCTACAGGTATGTCATGACTGTTGTTAGATTCCCACCAGTCTGGTAGGTTTTTAAAAGAGATAGGACTTTCAAAGGCATCCAATGCAGTTTTTAGGGCTTGGAAGCCCAATTTTTCAAAGACATTATAATAATTGTAGTTACCTATCTCATACTGAGAACACTATCCCAATGTATATTGATGCTCGTGGAGCAAATATTTCCAAAATTCTGATGGAAAACAGTTAGGCAATGGGCTCATTTTTAGGGTACCACCCATAAAATAAAGGACACATCTTGGGGCTTGTTTCTGCAGTTTTACATACCCAAAGTATGAAAATACTAATTGAAATGTGCTGATGTGAAGCAGTGTGTGTCAATATCACAAAGATTGCCTTATTCAGAATATTTCCAGTTTTGCTGCCCTGAAATCGCATTGGATGCCTTTCAAAGGATATCATATGCAGTACAGATTTTGTAAGATTTTTTAATGCGTTACCATGCATTTTGCACACATTTTGGACTTATTTCTTGTGCAAAAGTCGTGTTAATCATCGTTAAATCATAACAGAAAGCCATGTAAACGGTGTTGAAACTCGAGCAAAAGCAGTGTGAACCACATTAAGTAAATAGCTGCAGTCATTAGTGGCTATAATTCATAACCACATGCAATTACATGTACATTTGCACGCATTTTACATGAGAAATGCGATTTAAACGAGAAGTGCACAGCTTTGCATGGCCTTTTGTATTGCTTTTGCATGCATTTTAATTGATGTTAATATTATTATTAATTGTATACTCAGTTTATCAAGAAAATGTGGTGCTCACAAAAATTCTATTGTATCAGTGAATGCTATTCAAAGTGATATCTTGCTGTTACATGTTTCCTCTGACTGAGTGCACTGTAATAGGCCATTGACTGTTTTGAAACATTTTATTGCATTCAAGGTACATAAGCTAAGTCTCATTCACCATACAGGAATCTCCAACTTCTTATATAATAAATGTTTTTTTTTTTTTCAAAAAGAGCTGATTTCAGTTTTTTTTTGCTAATTCCCAGTTAGGGTTGGGATAGTCTTCTTAGAATTTGCTTTATATGATTACATATTTTTTAGCAGTGAAAAGAAATAATTTAGTTTCTACCCTGCATTTTTCTCATTTCTCCCCAGTCTTTCTTCCATACAGTACTACAGGTAGGAAGACCTGTCCCTGTTTAAAGTCTGTAGCTTACAGGGTGTTCCATTATATGTAGGACCTATAGTTTAGGTTCCACTGTAATGTAGGACCCACAGTAAGCTCCACTGTATGTGGTTTAATGTAGGACCTACATGTTTGTGCACTGTAGGTTCCACTGTGTTTTGTATGATGTATTGCCTACTTCATGTATGGGTCACCATGTGTTTTTAGGACCTACATTGTACATGTACTGCAGCTCAGGTTCCACTGTGCTTGTTACAATGTAGGACCTACATTATACCAAGCACAGTGGAACATACAGTACATAATGTAGGTTCCTACATATTGTACATTATGCCAAACACAGTGGAACCAACAGTAGGTCCTACATTGTACCAAACACATTGGAACCTGCAGTACAAGTACATGTAGGTTTGGTACAGTGTAGGACCTACTGTACATAGATTCCACTGTATTTGATAAAATGTAGGACCTACTGTAGGTTCCACTGTGTTTGATGAAATGTAGGACCTACTGTTGGTTCCACTGTGTTTGGTACAGTGTAGGACCTACTGTAGGTTCCACTGTGTCTGGTATAATGTAGGACCTACTGTAGGTTCCACTGTGTTTGATAAAATGTAGGACCTACTGTTGGTTCCACTGTGTTTGGTACAGTGTAGGACCTACTGTAGGTTCCACTGTGTCTGGTATAATGTAGGACCTACTGTAGGTTCCACTGTGTTTGATAAAATCATGTAGGACCTTAACTGTAGGTTCCACTGTGTTTGGTATAAAGTAGAACCTACTGTACAGCCACGTAGGTTCTACTATGTTTGGTATAATGTGGGACATACATAATTTATACTGTACGTAGGGCTTTATTCAATCCTCTGTTTTCAGTTTTGTTAAATGTTCATTGACAAGTGCTGGTTGACTGGAGAAGCCTTTTTTACACTTTCTGTATCTTACAGTACAGTTACTGTATGTTTCTGTTACAGTCTAATTAATGGCTAGATCTTGGTGAAAACAAGAACAATTGTCATGTTAGTACACTAACAGAGCTCTGTATCTTGTTTTTAAAGACCAACAGGCCAACATTCTTTGCTCGAAAGTTCGAGGCCGTGGTAAACCAGGACGTCATCAACCAGCTGGACTTCTTCCTGTACAACGATTTAACCGCGTCGTCTCCCGGGATCAACAGTTACTGGGAGAGTTTCTTCCATCACAAGGACCCGCACGACAAACACACGGACACCTACAGGACACATCTGGAGGCCTTCGCTCGCATGGCCCAGCTCTCGCTGCAGAGCGCCGCGCCGCACTACGGCAAACGGATCGACCGGAAGTGTCTGTACACGGTGATCAGCCCGCCGCGGGAGGGGAGTGTCTACATGCGCGGGGACCACCTGCGCGGACTGGTGGTCACGTTTGACGTGGAGAGCGAGGGCGGGGAGGAGACGTTAGAGGTGTGGGCGGTGCCCAGGAAGATGTACAAACTGGTCAACCCTGCTGGACCAATAGCAAGGCTGCTTAGTCTGGAGGTATGTATGGCTTTTTAAAGATTCTGAAATAGAAGATCAGAAGGAGAGGAAGGCAAAATATACATTTAATTGGGCATGCTGGTAGGTTGTACTCAGTTGAGAAGCTGTTGTTTCTACAAGACTGATTGAATAATCGTTCTGAGCAGTCTTCATACACAAGAAAATTCCTATGTCCTATCAACCTGATCAAATTATTTTCGAAAGTCTTGGTTTGTTACTGGGCAATGGTCAAACTGAATTTTGCAGTATGGCAGAATATGTCAGACTGCAGAGTATTAGGTCCTGGACACATGCCAAATTAAAGTATGAAAAATAACACAGTGACTGTACAAATGTACATTTATGTTCTCGACACATGTAAAAAAAACTGTTTCAAAAGTTAACACATAATTATTTGTCTCCACCATCTTTCCAGGTTGGTTCAGACTGGGACCTGAAAGAACGCATCTTCCGCAACATGGGGCGTCTGATTGGTCCTCACGACAGTCCAACCGTCATCCAGAGGTGGAGCAAGTCTGACGGCGCCAACTTCATCGTCTCCATCGTGTGGGTCGATCCTGCCAACACCATCGCCGCATCGTACGACCTAACCGTAGAACCAGACGCGGAATTTTCCTACCACACCCCGCCCTTCCAAAAACCGTTAAAACCGGGCGCATGGCACGTTTACCTCCTGCATCATTGGAAGATTGTGGCCGAGACCGCATTTCTGGTCACACCGATGGCGTACAAAAATAACCGACCAATCACGGCAGCCGAAGCTGCCACCACTCACGCAGGACCGTCCAATGGGACGTACATCGACAGAGACTTCGTCAGCCTTAACAGCTTTCTAAAACTCAAAGACGTGGAAAAACTAGCCGCGGCGGCGAAGCTGAACAGTCGGAAAACGGGGCGGGAGTTGGAAGGCTGGATCGACCAGCTGGTGTTGGAGTTCTGGTCGGTGGCGGACGTCTGTTCCGTGGCACCCTTCCCATCATGCAATATGGTCAAACAGTGCCAAGTCACGACGTGGAGTACTTTCTCTCCGGACACCAAGTCTCAGCTGGGTCCGGTCATGCCAGACGGCAGGATTAGGTGACACACAGGGTCATTTAGTCCTGCCCAATCAAACAGTAGCACAGATAATGTCATTTTGTATCCATAGTCTTGAAAATCCATCCATGTAGAAGTCGTTATGAAACCATTTTGAAAACTGTAGTCTTTCAAATTGGACCCAAATTTTTTCGACTGTACAACTCCAGTCTTTGTCAAGGAATAAACAACCAACTGCTTCTATGATGTCCGCTTATGCAAGTTCACATCAGAGCATTTACACCAAGCCTCAACAAAGACGGGGGGCGTCACAGACTTTCTGCAACATATGATCTGCTGCTCACTAATTCATGTATGGTCAGCATAATGTGATGTCACAGAAGCAGTGGACTGCTCATTCCTTGAAAAAGACTGGAGTTGTACACCACAAATTGAAATAAGAGTGGCATAGAATTATTGAACGTCAACAATATCACTGACTAGAGGCATAGACCAGTGACAGCATTTTCAAAGTTTTTATGATTATCTCGATTTTCGGTACCACCACATTTTTGCTGTTAGAGATAATGAAGAAAATATTTTCTCTTACTATATTTGTTGTAAGTTTGCAGAACATTTGCCTCTAAAATAGTCCTGAAATTATTTCTGTATCAGACTTCCCATAATAACAGAAATGGTATAACTGCCCTTTGGTGTAACACACCAGATTCCTTAGCTTATTTGATGGAGAACTGTGTGAACAAATTTGCCTCCACACAATCATCATGATTTCATCAGGTGCAGAAATTAGATATTAATTTTTTTCATTCAAACGCAATTTTTGTCATTAATATTCATCTGTTTTCCCACCTCTAGCCCATTTACACATGTACAATTTTTGTTCTTACTAGATTAGGCAAAAACATTGATAATCAAATGGAAACTGCAATTATATTATTTTTATAATTTCATAATGTTCTCTAAAATGTGTCAACATTTAGCCCTTCTGTACAATTTTATTCATTAAACAATGCAAAACAGGACATTTTTTCAAACTTTAAGGGTTAGTGTGCAACATTTGTAGCTATCTATGAATCAGCTATTATTGGAAGAAACTAGAATAAGAAGCTCCATTCATTCCATAGCTAGGACCAGTAATAGTCTCAAACAAAGATAGAAAAAGAATTATTGCTAGTATTGGAATATTTCACTTCAATTTAGGAAACTGTGTAAGTGTAGTATTTTGAAGTTAGCAGATATTTCCTAAGATAGACCTTTACAAAAAGCTATTAATTTCTCATATTTGATTTGAAAATTCAATCCTTTTATATCTCCTAAAAAGGCCATTGATTGTGATATAATTCATAACCAATCTGGAAAAATAAAAATGCTATCAATCTATCAATCATCACAATTGACCCATGAAGAATAAATTTTTATCTTTATTTAGTACTTTTAAAGTGCAGACCTGGATATTCTTCTATATAGGACAACAAGGTACTGCCTTTAAACTCCAGACTACCCGTGTGTTAATAATTATACAGAAATATGTATGTATATATCTATATTTTTGCTGTAATAATGACAAATAGTTTGCTGTACAAATCCAATATAATGTGTTTGCTTATTTAAAGGTGGTAAAGTGGCATTTTGTATTATTATGTGTAATACATGTGTTTTCTGATAAGTTACCAGTGCCAAATACTACTGGATAGTTTGTGTAACAATTTAGTACATTTAGTGTTTACTTCCAAATTGAATGAACAATTGTGAAGAATTAGGCTTCAAATTAAAAGTAAAATGTTGACCTTAAAGTTATCTTTCAAAGTTACAAGCTATTTTTTTAGAATCATGTTGTTTGAGTTAAAAATAGTGGTAGTCAGAACTTCTCAATATTCCTGTTTTTGTTAATACTATTGCAATAGTTCATGATATTACAATTATTATTTGTTTTAGGTCTGAAGTCTGTACAATATGTTAAAAAGAAGCTGTATTGATAGAATGTCAGATATTAAATAATACTGTATTGCATATATAGCACCCAGCTAGGTGTTATTATTTCTATAACTGACATGATGTGTTTAAAAACTTTGATCATTTATTTGGTCATCAACATATTTACAGATATACATGAATGTCATCAACAACTAAAGGCACCCATTGCAATTTCAGGAAGGCAAAACTAGAAATATTCTGGTTGAGGAAATCAGTCAATGATATTGACGTTTACTGTTTTTTCTTAGAATATTTGCGTCATCTCTGTCATACATAGTATTATGTGTTTGAAATAGCCCCTAAACAAGCTAGCAACCATATTTTTCGCATTTGACAGATATCACTTTGCTAAAAATAGGATTGATGCAACTTTGTAATATACTAATTTAGTGTGTAAAAATGACCAGAAAAATTATGTTAAAATTCCAGTTTTGCCACCCTAAAATGGCTTTGGGTGCCTTCGATGCAGTCACATAAACCTAATAATTTCATAATGATTTTATGATTATGATACTTGTGAATTGGTTTAAACCAAAAAGTACCCAGAGTAACAAACAAATGATTTATAATTGCGAGTTTTCACTTACTAGTAATAGACACTTGTCTAATAGCCTTTCACATATTTCCTGGCATAGAACTAGCATTTAGACCTTTTGTGCTGTGAAAGTCTTTCAGTATAACAATCAGGTACATACTATAGTAAGAGAGGTTTAATATGTATTGTCTAATCACCCAGGTCTCAAAACATTATGAAAGCTTTGTAAAGATCAGGAACTGGAAAATGCTCATCTTTTAACTTGAAAGACCATTTGGAAAATGTAATAGAAATGTCAACTTTGTCAATGTTTTTTGTTCCATCGTTTTTGGACATAAAGTGGACAATGCCATACCACTGTCTAAAGGAGTAAAAAAAGTGTCAAATTACAGTGTCTGTATATACAATTTGCAGTACTTTGGCATTGAAAAAATTTTGAACAAGCCACCATCCACTTTTCTAAGAGTTCAAAAGTTGAGTATTAAGTGTCCAAGCTATGGTATAATTGTTGTACAACTCAATTCTCCTAATTCGACGACCAGGTATCTTCAGACTGCCAAATTTAGATAACGATTTTATCAAAGCCTTTTTGTATACCTTTGTTATTACATGTACTGATGCTGCATTGGGATAAATCTCTTAAGCTCCACTCTTTGTCCATTTTCTTTCTTATGTTTAGGCTACCGGAATTATGAGAGTAACTGTTGATGTTACAGTATGGATAGTTATACACAAGTAGGCATACAGTTACATTATATATATGTTCATTTAAGTACAAGTATGTTTTGATGCCAAACGAATGACCAGTGCAAGAAAATAGTAACACGTCTAGTTGACAGTGTATTGAAATAGTATATTTTGTGTTTTGCTGCTAGTATATCTACATTCATTGCATTAGATATTATATAGAAAACTTTGGAAGAGTAAGATTACTATTGTGGCATAATTGGTGCAGCAAGTAATGTTTTTCAATTGTGAGATACAGCCTTTTTCCCACAGGCTGTTCAAAATGCTTGTATGTGATTTGTTTTAAGATAGATGTCCAAAATTATTTAGGATAGTATGTGAGACATTAAGTTTAAGAAATAATGGTTAATTGTCACCGCAAACTTCAAACTATGTTACAAACTGGGGGAAAGAATAGTTGTTGAAAAGTAACATGATGAGTAAAAACTATTATACTAGCAGGAGAAGTTTGTAATGATAATTTGTATGTGCAGCCAATGTAAAAGGTAAATGTACTTGTACAAAGACATTGTATACACGAGGCCTTATGAAACAGCTGAACATGACTAAAAGGTTGTCATGTTTGACATTGGTGTTCTGTGTCATCTATGTGTCATACTTTAACTGTGTACGGTAGCAGGTATAACTGCGTGTGTTAAGCTGTGCGTGGATGGTGCTCATTGCCGGGGACGTGTTCGATTTTATGTGGATAGTGTTCAGCACCGAAGATGGCCATGTTCGCTTGTGAATAGATGGTTTTCAGCACCAAGGATGGGCATATTTGTGTGTGGATGGTGTTTAGCACTAGGGACGGCTTTATTTACTTGTGTGTGGAAGGTGTTCACCAAGTACTGGACTTGCACGTTTACCTGTAAGGAGATGGTGTTCAGCACCAGGGAAAGATGTGTTTACCTGTGTGTGAACGGCGTTCAGTACCAAGGACAGGTGTGTTTACCTGTGTGTGGATGGTGTTCAGCACCGGTGTTTACCTGTGTGTGGATGGTGTTCAGCACCAAGGACAGATGTGTTTACCTGTGTGTGAATGGCGTTCAATACCAAGGACAGGTGTGTTTACCTGTGTGTGGATGGTGTTCAGCACCAAGGACAGATGTGTTTATCTGTGTGTGGATGGTGCCAAGGATAGATATGTTAACCTATGTGTGAATGATGTTCAGCACCAAGGACAGGTGTGCTTATCTGTGTGTGGATGGTGTTCAGCACCAAGGACATGTGTGCTTATCTGTGTGTGGATGGTGTTCAGCACCAAGGACAGGTGTGCTTATCTGTGTGTGGATGGTGTTCAGCACCAAGGACATGTGTGTTTACCTGTGTGTGGATGGTGTTCTGCACAGTTCCGTCTGACTACAGATTGTATTTGGTGAAAGATTTTATGAATAATCGTAACACATATTAAGGGATATTCAAAAATTTGATATCGTCTATTTTATCTCTTAACAGCAACCACAAACCACAAGAAATACAAATTTCAGTTGGTCTGTAAAGCCTTAAAATTTAGTTAGAAAACAGATTGGTGAGCGATTAAGATTATTTCCACCTAAGCATAAGTCGTGGTAATAACTCGGCTGTGTCGCATTGTTCACAACTCGCCAAATATTAAGTTAACCGTACAAAATGAACACTTTTTTAGTGTCTATATGTTCAAACGGACGTGAAAAATTGCCTATTTCTTACTGTGTACCTACATGTATGACAAGTACCTAGAAACCTATAAGTAACGAGATTTAATATTTGTTATTGCCACAGTGTAAAAATGATGCAACATCATCAGGCTGATAATTCACATATTTACGCTTGTGACATGACGCCATTAACATGTTACAGAGGCCGTTAGCAATACATAGTTTCACTTAGCGTATCAAACTCTCCCGACTATATTTGAAGTGACTATTCATGATAGTCGGTATCCTTTAGGTGATCGCCAAGGAGTCTACAAGCCATTCTCAGCCTGTTAATTGTCTTTACAACGTCAGGATGTTTTTCATCGTTCATACTCCGGAGAATCTGTAATACCTGCCCAAAATATGTGATCGTCTTTCTGTACTCGCCAAGAGCCCCCCAGGCGCTACCCAAGTTGATAAGTGAGTTGGCGATGTCAGGATGTGCAGTGTTCTTATTATGGATTCTCTGCCTCATCTGTAGTGACTGTTCGTAATAGATGACTGGCTTTTTGTGATCACAAAGCTTATCCCAGGCGGTACCCAATTTGTCAAGTGACGCGACGATGTCAGGATGTACCGTGTTCTTACCATGGATTCTCCGCCTCATCTCTAGTGCCTGTTCGTAATAGTTGACGGCCTTTCTGTGATCACCAAGGTCCTTCCAAACAGCACCCAAGTTGTTAAGTAACGAGATAATGTCGGGATGAGCAGTGTTCCTACCATGGATACTCTGCATCATCTGTAGTGACTGTTCAAAATAGCTGACCGCCTTTCTGTGATAACTTAGAGCCATCCAGACAGTACCCAAGTTGTTAAGTGATTTTACAGTTTCAGCAAGTGCTTTGTTCTTACCATAGATTTTCTTTCTCATCTGTAGTGCCTGTTCATGATAGCTGACGGCCTTTCTGTGATCACCACGGTGACTCCAGGCGATACCCAAGTTGCTAAGTAATGTAGCGACTTCAGGATGTGCAGTGTGCTTACCGTGGATACTGTGCATCATCTGTAGTGACTGTTCACCATACATGACGGCCTTTCTGTGGTTACCAAGGTTATCCCAGCCAACACCCAGGTTTGTAAGTGTGGAGGCGATGTCAGGATGTGCAGTTTCCTCACCATGAATTTTCCGGCTCATCTTCAGAGCCTGTTCATAATAGCCGACGGCCTTTCTGGGATCGCCAAGGTCACTCCAGGCAGTACCCAAGTTGATCAGTGACGAGACGATGCTAGGATGTGCAGTTTCCTGACCATGGACTTTCCGCTTCATCCGAAGTGACTGCTCATAATAGTTGACGGCCTTTCTGTGATCACCAAGGTCACTCCAGGCACGGCCCAAGTTGTTAAGTGACATGGCGATGCCAGGATCTGCAGTTTCCTCACCATGGATTTTCCGTCTTATCTTTAGTGACTGTTCATGATAGCTGACGGCCTTTCTGTAATCACCAAGACTACCCCATGTGTTGCCCAAGTTGTTAAATGAAGCGGCGATGTAAAGATGCACAGCGTTCTCACCATATATACTCTGCCTCATCTGTAGTGAATGTTCATAACAGGTGACGGCGTTTTTGTGATCACCAAGGTCACTCAAGGCTGTACCCAAGTTGTTAAGTGACAGGGCGATGTCAGGATGTCGAGCGTTCTCACCATAGATACACCTCCTCATCTGCAGTGCCTGTTCATAATAGCTGACGGCCTCTTTGTGATCACCAAGGTCACTACAGACGGTGCCCAAGTCGTTGAGCAATTTGGCGATGCCTGGATGTGCTTTTCCTGTACCATACTTCGAAACCTTAACCTCTAGTACTCGTTTTAGGCATGACTTTGCCTTTTCGTACTCACACAGACTTTTATATACCCCTGCTTGTATCTCTGGTGAATTGTCAAACAGAACAGGAGGTCGTATCACATGCATATTGATAAGTTCTAGAATTAAGGCTTTTAATGGTCGAGCGGTATAATGGTACCTCATCAGTTGTTTTGTATTGGAGAAGTAAAACACTTTCTTTAACCTGTCCCCCATATCTGTGTTAGAAGACATGGACAATAAGGCGGACATGTTTTCCACCTGACCACGGTTGTTCAAGTATGTCCGCAGCCTCATTTCTGCTGAGATGCTGACCAGCACCGTTAAGTGATGTGCGTTTTCACTGTCGATGACTCCGTTCATGTTCATCTTCCGGATAGTTTCCCATATTGTGGTAGGTTGTATACCACAGAGTAGCGCCCAACACGACACTGCAAGGGTCGAAAATCGATAGATCTCTTTCTTCACATCTAGCAAACCAGATGTTGGATCATCTGGTGAAAGAGTTTGTATATTTGTATCATCGGCCATTATACTTAATCCCTGTAAAAGAGATATTGCCCCTTTACTACGCTGGAGTTGCTGAGTCCACAAGTTCAAATACACATCGACCAACTCCTGCTCTCCTGTGATCAAACACACATTCCCCAATATGCTCAAGAGATGGTAGCCTTTCTTTAAATGCAAAGTCAAGTCGTCTTGCATGATTCTGGTCATCCCACTTGGTGTGTGGATAAGTTCAGCTGTTTTGCCCCTTCCCAGAGGAGTCTTGCATGCGTGCGGCATGGCTCCGTCGAACGCGAACCCGCGCGGCGTTACAGAGTCGTAGAACCAGCTGTCAGGTGGGTCATTGGAAAAGTCAGTGAGACTCTTGATCGCCATGGACGGGAGAATGGTTTCTCCCAGGTTAATCACTTTGAGATGCAGATAGTGAGTAAGGTTGCGGAAATACTCGACGTTACTCTCTGTTTCCTCCTCTATCAGGATGGCGAACTCCAGATCAGAGTACGGGGTTGCTAACCCTGTGGCCTGTGAACCCATGCCTACCATTGCATACTTACAGGGAGGGGGACCAATTACCTCCATACATTCACCTACAAGGCCAACAATGAATGTTTTTCTCTGTTTAACGATTGTTTGGAATAATGTAAAAATTGCTTCCGCTCTCTGCTTCTCCACTTCTCGTGTCTTTTTATCATCGTCATCAAGACTATAAGGATCGATCTCCTGCTCGATTTGTTTCATCTCTTCTTCTACATACTTCCGATTCTTCTTCAGTGTCAATTTGTGTGTCTCTGTATCACTGTTATCCACAACTTGTTTGATCCCCAGTACGTGCTCAAAAAATAACTGACTAACTTGTAGCATCGTTTGTTTGATGGTCCCTCTGTCTTCTGTCCTTGCTCTGACCAGTGCGGCATTACGAAGTGCTGCAGCCTTGGTGAAGTCACTCCCGTCTTTCGACTGGATTCCTCTTTGTAGGTAGACATCACTTAGCCTGCACATGGGCTCCGCCTCTTTTTGATATTGGTCTCTATTTGAATCTAAACGAAACGATAATTTTGAATCACAAACCTTAATCTTACTTCGAATTTAATTGATCGACAATGTTTTATCTAGCCTGGGTTCTAGGCCAATAGCACACTGGACACAAAATATCTCAGTGAACCAGCTCACTGAGATATTTTGTGTCCAGTGTGCTATGGGTCTGGAACCCAGGCTATATTTTAACCTTATCTAGACCGGTCTTTTTTGGGCTTGGTGGGTCAACGGGGCGGGGGCTCTTTTGCCCCCCCCCCCAGAAGTCGCGAACGGTATGTTGTATGACCACCAAATTTTTAGAGGACGGTGTACTAGTAAGAATTTATCATATCTACAATTTTCATATTATTATGACGTAATATGACGTCATTCATATTTAAGCTATCCGCCATCTTGGATCATCAATCTTGAATTTTCAAAAATAGTTTTTTTTTTCAGGACAAAGCCTGAAATACATTGTAAACAGACTAAAGACGTTCACATGAACCATTTTTACAAAAAGGAATGGAAGTATTGATGAAATTTTAAGAAAAAAACCTGTATATACCTGTTCTAATGATATGGTCCGCCATCTTGGATTTTGGCCAATGACGTCATCAAATTAGCATAAATTATGCATCGTTAATGATAAACTTTACATGAAATTATATGGAATGATATTAATATTAGAAACCATGTGTAATTTGACAGAAAAACCATGAAATTGTATTGTTGAAACGAAAATTACTAAATTTAGCAAAAAATGCCTTTTAGAAACCCGTTGCCATGGCAACACAAAAATTATTATCTTATTCCAATGATACAGAATTGTTGCCAACAATATTCTAGGAAAAGTCACCAACTTTGGTTGTTCTAGCGCTGGCCGTTCAGACGCTATATGACATCAAATTTGGCGCGGGCACTTTTAGATAGGGTCTAGATAGGGTTAAAACACGATAGTGGAAGTTAAAACTAGATTTGCTACATTTGGATGATTGAAATGATATGAAGATTTTTAGCAATGATGTCGTCACAAACTAGACCTTACAGATGGACAAGTTAGGTTACCTTTGACATGGACGGCCTTGAGCGCAGCTGCAAAGTTCCGTTCTGCTGATCCCAGCTCTCCTGCTTGCAGAGCCCTGCAGCCCTCCTGCAGCTGGTCTGTGTACACACTGTAGCAGGGGGATGATGACAAGTTTATTTAACACCTACTTGTTTGATTTACAATTGAAAAGATAGCTCTGTGTATTAGCATTGTATTGATAGGTTTTCATATTTCCAATGTTGCTAAAAACTTCCAAGGAAAGTGTGTCACCTGTTGGTGTCTTCCTGTGTTGTGCTTGTCTCTTCCACACCCATCCTGTAATCAGTAAATATATTTTTGCTATCAACATACTTTTGAAAAAGTAATTAAGATATAACCAATTTTGAGGGCCAGACACGTAAAGCAATGCTGCATAATCGAAAACACGTACTCACCCTTCTCCAAATCTTTTATTGATAACGCCATTGTTTACTAGACTTGCTGTGGTAGCAGACATATTGACCTTCCAATTCCTGGATTTTCTAGCTTCTTGTTGCTTCTGAAATCAAAAGAATACGACTGAATACAATTTAAATTCCAATCAAAAATAGAAAAGTGTGCTAATATTCCCAATAAAGGCGGACGTCTCATGTAAGAGCTTACAAGTCGCAGGTAGCGAGTGCCAGTCAGACACGCAAAGTTACAGACAAGACAGTGATCATTTACGGACTGAAGTAGCTGTTAATCCGATCCCCTTGCAAGCAATTGGAGAAGATCTATGGAAAGGACTTCTTGATTGCTCGTAGCTGTTTTCTTTAATAAATCTTTCCACAGAGAAGCTAGCGATCTTTCTCACATACCCCAATTACAGTTGGAATGGTTATGGTTAGAATAAAGTATCAAATTTTTGTCCTGACAACATGCTAAAACTGCAGTTTGTAAGCTAAAGGCCTGAATATGAGTTTGGGGGATTTCAACACATGGTTGGCGAAGTCCCTGTGACGTGGGGCTCGATTTGGTGAGGTCTTACATGAAACAGTGAAAATACAAGTACTGCAATACAACACTGTCTGCTCATTCATATAAGTGGTCGGTATATAGTGAGCAAATATAAAGCCTTACAGGTCAGAAGGCAATTGGCTCGCTGGCACGCATACAGATGTCAAGAGAAAGGGCGGATCTTTCACACTTATTAGTTGCATAATACGGAAAGGCGAGTACTAGTATCTTGCGTTATGAAGTGAAGTACAACAATCGCTCAAATGTATGGATAGTGATTCAACAATAGTAATGAGATATGTTAGGAACGATACAAGAATATTATTCTACGTAGGAAGACAAACACCTACCCGTTTCTTTACTTCCAGTATGCTCTTCCTGATTTTTGCTGCATAAAGTAAGCGATGTGTGAGGACGGTTTTCCCATGCTGATCGCCACATCGCTCCAGGGCAGTGCTGTATAGAGCTGTAGCCTTGGTCAAGTGCCTGGACTCCTTTAGGTCTTTTCCTCTAGTAAGGTTCACGTCTCCGAGACTTTTTATAGCCTCTACTTCCAACAGGTTGTTCGTCTCCCCTATTCCTTCTACAAGAATCTTGGTGTAGCCCTCTAAGATGGAGTCCATATGGCCACCGTTAGCCGATTTCTTATCCAAATCTTGAAAGATTTCTGATATTCTCAAGACGGAATTAATGCTTTTGCTCCTGGTTGATCCTGCTATAGGAGCTTTCTGTCTGAGTTTTTCGGCGAGTTTGACCCTATGTTGGAGAGACTCGCCTTCCCCCGGGTCCTCACAACGGAGCAGCGTGGCTCTGTACAGGTTCAGGCCCCGCTCCAAGTTCTGTGAAGCTTCGGTCTTGTGGAGTCTTCCTTTCTCCACGTTCAAGTCTCCCAGGCTCTTCAGTACCTCCACTTCCTGCAGCCTGTCCATATCAGACATGGCGGCCAGAAGGGCGCGGCCGTACCCCGTCTCGGCCAGGTCATACCTGTTACACTTTACAAACCTCCGGCATTGCACGTCTGTAGGGAAAAGTGTCCCCGCAACACGCAACATGTTCGACATGATCACGGTCACTAACAAGTCCTAGATTGTAACAGGTGTAGAACACTGTTTACCTTCGCTACTGCTGTTATGAAATAGTACATAGAACGGAGCGAAAGAAACACCGAACAGATAAATTTTCACCATATTATGCCGCCCAAAGGTTTCACTGCTGCCCACTGAACCTTCGGGCGTGTTAGTTGGCCGCTCTGTGTTGTCCTTAACAACAGGAATAATACTGGAATGTCCCGACGTGGAAATTCCCCATTGCTCATGACCGCCTGACGTCATTGTGAATACCCGTGGCATCAGGTGTCAGTCATAAACAATGCCGCTGCATCAGGTGTCAGCAGTAAACATTGCTGCTGCATCAGGTGTCAGCAGTAAACAATGACGCTGCATCAGGTTCAGCAGTAAACAATGCCTCTGTTTTTGAATCACCGGCTTAGAATACTCGGGATTTTCCAGCCGTTTGCAATTCTGTATTACTTCAAGTAAATCACTTAGTAACACAAAATCCTAGAAAGCCGTATTTAACGTGTTCTATTGCTGTGTTTCTACAAACACATTTACAACATGTTTAAAGTTTTGCCATGGCACTCTATTTTTAAAGTAATTCACGTCTCCTTTCCTGCTGATGATCCCTGGATCATTAGTCTTTGAAAAAGAGTTGTTATTGTGATTCTTCTATCTGAAGTCAAACTTTGTGCACAGAACGACTTTATGACTTCATGAAATATTTAGAGCTTTTGTAAGTGTTTACTTGTTTATTTTTTCTTATTTATTTATTCTTATTTATTTATTTCTGTATTTCTTCATGGAATACGGAATTAAGGTTGCTATATATATTAGCGTAATATCTTTTATCTATGGTTTTCTCAGCTGAAATTACATCTATTTTACAATCCTATCCCTCTGCAAGGAAGCTTAAGGTTTCAATAATCATGTCAATGACCCCCACATGAACATAATATTTGCATAGTGGTGTTATACTTGTATATAGAACGTCCATAGTTGCATAATAAATATCTTTGCCCATCTTTGCATCTGAAAGGAAAAAAAAGACTTTCTGCAAACTATGATCCACTGCTCACGGAGTCACGTGTGTTATCTGCGTGACGTCACGGAAGCGGTGGATTGTTCATTCCTTGAAAAAGACTGGAGTTGTACAGTCGAAAATTTGGGTGAGTCCAATTTCTTGTGTTGGAAATTACAGTTTAATCTTGCTGCATAATCACGCTAATAAGTTGCTTTTTAGCATAATCTATGTAGTAATGCATTACTAATTTACTACTTCTGAAATAAATATATCGTTAAATGTTCAAGTTATTTCCAATCTTAAAGATTAGCTCATTTTCAAATCAGGAATACACATTTATGATCAAGATGATTTAATTATCGCCAGTAGTTTAACATTGCAATTATTTATTACAACGAAATTGTATACGTATTTACAATAATCAGAGAAATATCGTACCAGGTAAAATAACTTCTTTAGTTATGCATCTTTAGTCTTATTTATATGATTTGGGACCGATCTATATGTATTTCCACCTAAGCCAACTACTTGCACTAAATTGTAAATTTACATAGCTCTCTTCTTGAGTATTGTTGTTCCAAACACTACAAGCAAAACACCCATGCAGTTCTAAAGCAGACTGCTTGGAGGCACGCACAACTCCAAAAGCTGTCAGACAACTAACATCTATACCACTGCTTGTCACTTATATACCACAGGTTGCAATGTATATATTACGATACGGCTTCTTCAATACTTCTATCCTGAACTGTTACATCATGTCGTTTCAAGTTGGTAGTTAGTTTGTATCCAAGTACTCGGGTCCGTAGACTGCGAGATGCTTGTCCAGTGTTAGATACAGCTGGCTGAAGAGCGGCCGCTGGATGGGCTGCCGGCGCCAACACTGCTGCATCAGATCGTACCTGTGGAGAAAGCGACATCTAGCGACCGTCGTATGAACTGTTCACCTCTTTGCGATTCACAAAACATTAAATATAGTACACACAGTACTGTTTCAGTTTCGATAAACAACATGCATATTTGTCGGTGAACAGAATAACTTAATGAGTTCCTTAATGTATTTCAATGACCATAGGCGTTTTTGGTCCTATTCAATACGTGGTTCTACGAAAAGTATCAACCTTGTCCGAATATTCGCGATATGGGTGCAGAAAACCAGCAGACTTACATGGCTCCCGGGCAGTCTTCAGGTTGGTCCATCCTGAATCCAGTCTGTAGGCGGTCTTTCAGCTCGGATACTGACACGCCAGGGTAAGGGTCGCCCCCTAGCGTGCAGATCTCGTACAGCACTATCCCGAATGACCACCTGTTAAGGAAATATGATATCAGGCCACGTAAACTTTGCCACATGACATTTTAGAATGTAAGGGTTAGGAACTGTGTTAATGATGTCAGGTTGGACTTAGAGATTGGGTATCATAGGTGATTTACACTTCCAATAATGACTACTCGCGTCACTTGTGTACTATATTAAGGTTATAATAATGGCTAGAATTATCATAATTACACTCCAGACATAATGATAGCGCTAATCTGACATCGTTCTGTGTGGTCTTAGGTTAGAGTTAGAGATCAATTATCATATTGATATCGTGCTAAATTACATACACATCGCTTTGTGTGGTGTATAGTTAGAGTAAGAGATTGGTTATTATAGTTAACTGCGGGTATTATAATAAGATTACTCACACATCGCTCTGTGTGGTGTAAGGTTAGAGTTAGAGATAAGTTTTCGTAGTTAACTGCAGATATTATCATAGAGACTACTCACACATCGCTCGGTGTGGTGTTAGGTTAGAGTTAGAGATTAGTTATCATAGTTAACTGCAGATATTATCATAAAGACTACTCACACATCGCTCGGTGTGGTGTTAGGTTAGAGTTAGAGATTAGTTATCATAGTTAAATGCAGATATCATAGTTGGACCTACACATCGCTCTGTTTGGTGTAAGGTTAGAGTTATAGATTGGTTATTATTGTTAACTTCAGATATTATAACAAGATTACTCACACATCGCTCTGTTTGGTGTTAGGTTAGAGTTAGAGAGTGGATATTATAGTAGTTAACTGCAGATATTATAATAAGATTACTCACACATCGCTCTGTGAGGTGTAGGCTTCCCCACCCTCCAGCCGCTCCGGCGCCATCCACTTCCAGGGCACCCTCTGGAGCCGGTCCTGCCGACGGTAACCTCGGCTGTAGATGTCTTCTGCCAGCCCGAAGTCAGAAATCTTCACATGCAGGCGATTTCCGACCAGCACGTTCCGAGCGGCCAGGTCTCCGTGGACGTAACGAGACCGGGCGATGTGATCCTGGAACATGAACAACACATTAAGTTCGCGAAGACTCTGTTACATTACATTATTTTAGCCTGAAATCCAGCCAACTGGCGCTGCAATTATAATTACGATGGGGCAGTAAGTAGCAAGCATTTTATGCATTTCATATCGTAATTCAAGTGTAGATGCTGTTGGCCCCCATTCACGGCATCTGGTGCATTTGCGCCACATGGTACATCTGTAGCACCTGATGCATCTGAACCTGGCATATAGCACCTGGAAGTGCATGGCTGCACCATCTGGTATACCTGTACTTACCATGCCTCTAGCGATCTGCCGGGCCACCTGATACATCTGTATCACCTCGAAGGTGTAGATATCCTCTCGAGATTCGTCAGAGGTCTCTTCCTGTAAAACATTTATTTAATGTTTCTTCATTCATATTTGATAACAACATGCATTTGAAAGTAAACAACAAAAAAAGGTCCGATATGTTATAAATAAAATTACGTGGGTAACAAAACTATACCTTTTTTTTCCACAATGACACTTAAATTTTGCATTCCGTTAACGAGCAAATAACACATTCTCAACATTCTTAAATCGCATGTAAATTTAAGAAATAATTTTAGCCTCCCTATTTACCAACGTATTTTTTCCAGAAAACTAGAAAAAAACAACCATGTGGCTCACCTCCCGGCATTTTCTCAAGAAGCTCTTCAGGTCTCCGTACGGCATGAGCTCCGTGATGAGATACAGATGGTCTCGCGTCACCGTGCTGCAGCCGAGCAGACCCAGCAGGTTCTTATGAACCCCCAGGTCCACAACTGCACGGATTTCTTCCAGGAAACCCAGCTTGTCCTCCTCACTGGCGTGTTCTGTATTTAAATGGAGAAAACATTCAAAATGGCGTTAGAAGAGAAGAATTATAGAAAATTTAATTCCAAAACATGGAGGATCATACAGCATGTACCTGATAGCCAGCTGCAGGCGTGGGCATGTGCGGAGTACTGGAGGGGAAGAGTGTAGCAGTGAATGGTGACCCGAGAAGAAGAAGAAGAAGCTGCAGGCGTTTACGGGCGTGTTTAAAAAACTGAAGTGCTTCGAAAATACAGTTATCAGAAGTAGTTATCATTTTTATTTTGCCGATATTTATTAGATATCGTTCTCTACCTAAAAAAAGACTTTACATATTGTTTGTTCATAAAGTGCAGATTTTGCCACGATTATGTAATTCGAATTTGTGCGAATTTCGATTCTTATTAGCATACAACCTTTCAGAGTTTTTACGACGACATCCTCCGTCTGGTCGTTCCGCGTCAGGGTTGCCCGGTAAACGATGCCGAACGCCCCGCTGCCGATCTTCTCACCAAGCGTCACCCGTCCGGGGTCGGTCTCTAACTTCGGGAAGTGTGACCGGGCTGGAACCAGCGGGGCCATCTCCTCCAATCTCCTCCTGTGGACTGTACAACAACGTGTAGTGGGAAAAAGCGTTTGTGACTAGATGGTCCAACCTGCACGATATAATTATGTTTAATGTATGAAGACATAAAATCGTGGCCTTTGGGGCTTCTTACTAAAGCATAAATGTAATACAGAAATTACACAAAGATATACAAGCAACGTGTGGGATTTCCGTGCAATATTTCAATGCTAGCTTGGGATGTACCCTTGCAATAAACGTTTAAAAATACAAGTCCATAACATCAATTCGTCTGTCACACATTCAGGACCTTCCCCCGACCTTGCCCCTGGACATAAACCGACCACATTCGGCTGACGTTCGCCAAGATTAAGGGCCAAATTTTGGCCATGCCTGCTCTTATACATGAAGTAAAGGGAGTTAAGGGAGTCAAATTAACCCCAGAACATGTTAATATACCCGACAACGTCTGACTTAATCCCTAACAACTGGCTGGTGTTCTACTTATCCGACCAACACCCGCATTTTAAATATTTTGAAAAATAGCCGAATAGTAGCCGACCTCGCCGAACACCAGCCGAGCCATCCGACCTTTCCCAACCTACTTATGGTTAGTAAGTGTTCGGCTGGTGTTCAGGAGGCCAAATTCGTGAATGTAGGACGTATATGGGCTTTACAATGATCAATGATAAAGCTCACTTGCTATGTCATCTGGTACAAAATAAGCAACCGATTGTGAGATATATTCTTCCTCTCTTCGTTTCCTCCTACGTCTTAGGAAGACCATGAAGACGACAGCTGCCACAATCAGCACTGCGGCGATACCGGCAGTGGTTCCGCCGATAATGGCTTCAGTAGTCATGCGACTTTCCTCTGTAGGTACTGTACATGTGTGTGTTAGAACAACCGTTAGTTTACGTTTGGCATAACAGCAATACCAGTACTGGTGCTAGTGACAAACGACGCAAGATTTCTTTAAAGTATGGGATATCATACTAAGGTCTGTATGTAATGAAACTATACGGTAGATGACATGTCTTATTTACACCGCTCAAGAGTTGAGGAATAGAGACCAACAATTATACCATGAGAACCATAAAGCAGTTTCCTCATTACATTAAATTAATTCGATCCCCAACAGTCGCATCTTACAAATGTTTCATATTTCTGTCTTGGAAACCCTGCTGGATTTCTGCAGGTAAGCCGTGGACCTCCATATACAGCTACTTTGTAATATAGATATTTAATCAAGTCCCTGAATATCCATGTGTGGGTTGAAGCTATGTAATTAAAAGATTTGCCGTTTTTAGATTTAAAATATAAAAACATACGTTGGCAAGTCGGAATTTCTGGGTCCCAACTTCCGTCCTCTTGGCAGGTGGCCGAGGAGCTGCCGACGAGCTCGTACCCAGGATTACAAGAGAAACTGATGTCGTTCCCATAGCAGTACCCTTCGGTAGCATTAACCAGACCGCTCATTATTTCGGTTATATTGTCACAGCAGACACCTGCAAATATAGAAAGCTGGCATAAAGAACATTAAAGGCTCTGAAAGGGAGTATCAATACCTGAATACATGCTTTCTCACATTAAATGAAAAGATAAACATACGTATAGATACTACAACCCCGCCGAGTGTTTTAAAGCTATAGTTTTCACACTCTCCATTTAAAAATGCAAAATGAAAAACATCGTAAAGAAGAAGCATTTTTAGCAACTCACGTTGGCATGTCGGAATCTCTCGGTCCCAGTATTTGCCCGTGCAGAAGGCGGTCTTGCTGCCGACAAGCTGATATCCAGTGTCACAAGTGAACTCGATAGAGTTCCCAGAGCAGTAGTCATCATTGACCGTGATCTGGCCGTTCAGTATCCTGGTTGTGTTCTCACAGCAGATACCTAGAATTTAAATTTTTATGTTTACCGAAGGAAAACATATTGTTTTTACTCAGTTTCTTCCTCCTCCTCTTCTGTTCCAAACACTAACCTCTGACCGGACCAATGACATGATTTGTTGACGTCTGTCACCATGGTGACTGGTGTTGGGTTACATAATGTTGCAATCATAGTCTGCTCTACTCCTGTCACCAGACACTAGTAGTACATGTATGTGAATGTGTTTGAGTAAGAATTAACAGGGCAGACCATGTCCGAAGGTAAACATTATGTATTTGCTTTGCAAATGTTACTTCTCTAGTTCCTTCTTATTTTTCCACAGCAATTTCTTACAATACCGAACGACATTCATTATTCCTTCCAATCACGCATTTAAGTTTAAGTTTATTCTATCTTAGACACGCAGACTTCTCTGTAGCACATCTGATAATGTTGAAGGTAATTATGATGCATGTGTGATACAAACACTTTGTATCACTGAGTATGGACCGGACCTATCTTAGAACCGGAAAAATATTTTGCTGTCGATCAGTCAGTTTGGGCATAATACAACATATCCTGAATATAAATCCTGAATATATGATTAGGCGATTGCTTTGCACCTGAGTCATGCAATGGCAAAAGGAGACTACCGAGCACACCAGGAGGGCCTAAAATATAAAGATCACAATATCTACTTTACAATGAAGGTAATTTTAAGAATCCATGCAAAGGAACAATGACGATAACGTTATCACGACATTCACAATGTAAAGGGTGGCTCACGTTGGCAAGTCGGAATTCCTCTGTCCCAACTCCCGTCCTTTTGGCAGGTGGCCGATGAGTTGCCGATAACCTCGTATCCAGGGTCACAAGAGAACTGAATGTCGTTCCCAGAGCAGTAGCCCCCGCCGGTAGGAGTGATCTGGCCGTTCAGGAGCTCTTTGCTATCGTCACAGCAGATATCTTATCATGAAAAAAAAAGAAAAAAATGAGGTTGAAAAACATTGGAGGAGCTAAAAATTGACATAGTTTCTTAAGAGCTAGAAGAAGCAGTTCAGAGGCAGAAAATTGAGTCATGGTTGTTATTTTTGAAGTACCAAAAGAAAGAATATGACATATGTCCTACACATGCATTGCAATAAGTGGCATGGTACATTTGTTGTAAATGTATTACTTTTAGGCGTATTTTGTCTCGTTTCATATTCATCCTATGCATATTCTACATATAATTGCTTGAAAAAGGCACCGCTTAGATGTAATTTTGTTTTCAATTTTAACAGAACAGAAACAAAAACATACTATGTAACTTTACCGTTATACACTTGATGATCATGGATTATACGCTGACATTTTCATCATTGCACTAGAGACATTGTGAAATTTAAGCTACCTTTAACATAGACCTCTACCTCGCACAGTTGGACAATGGGCTGTAACTTTGTGTCCACGTCTACAGAAACATAACGCCCATATATCGGCAGACCGCAATACATCACTATGGGACCAGGGAGGATCTTGGTGTTGGCAGTCTGTCCACACTGGTCATTCTGATTGGAGTTCTCGTTCGGACCGACCCGCACCGTTATGTTTGTTAATTCGAATCCTGTAAACTCAAGTCAACAAAATATACTGTGAAAAGTGGAAATTAGCAAACGCGCCTCGTGATGCTGAGGCCACATTTCCAAACCGGCCGGGGTCGGCAGGGCTGTTTCCATTAACGAAATATGCAAATAGTTCCCATTATTATTTTGTTCAACTTTTTTTTGTGCTTTCTTGTCTTACTTTTCATTTTTTTTCATTCCAAAAGACTGTCCGGTCGGATCCAGGTTAGGAAATGTGACCTCAGCATAAAAGGCGCATTTGCTGATTTGCACCGAAAAATGCTTTCACCTTGAGCAAAGAAACATCAGACGACATGGGTACTATCATATGTACATATAAGTAGGTAAAGGTTAGACATCCAGGTAAAAAGTTAGGCCAAACAGTTACACTAGCAACTGGATATGATTTTAGAAACGGTCAGACGTTTCATGTAGCATCCACTAGCTTTCGTCAGTGACACTAAGGTACCAGAGGAGAAATATAATGTAGGTTTATAAGCACCAACTATTGATTAATATGCAAATAAGTGAAGACATTTTTTGGGGCGGAAGTCCAAAAGGAAGCAAAAGTTAGACAAGTTAAGACAAGATGGTGCTAATTAGTAGAAAAGCTCATGTTGTTGCAGAATAGAAGCTTGTGTTGTCTGTCCTTGGAGCTGGGAGCGCCAAATCTCAAGTGCCTGAGAGATCTATCCGTAGCCGCCCCCCTCCCTGTTGAGAGTGGAGTTGTACATTCTTTCATATACTCGTATTGCATCTCGTTCCCACCAGCATGTTGTACATATATGTACATATACATATATATATATATAATTATTAACATATGTACTATTATATTACATGAGTGATAAGGTATTGGCCTTTGCGTAAGAAACACATGTAGCTGTAAACTTTCTTGCAGAAACAACATAAACTCACCAGTCCCAAGTAGAACACTGACCCGGCTGACTCTGTAGAAACCTGCCAGGTCCACCTTCCACCAGTGTGACCATTGTACAGCCAATCCAGTTACTAGCATAGCGCACTCATGGTTATTACCATCCACAGCCTTCTCGGCTCCATTCCCGTCATAGGTGGAACTCTGCATTGCCTTCTTTCCAAGGGCAATATTAATTTCTGCAAGTGAACAGTGACGGAGAATCATGGCAAATGTTTCTATGAGAAAAAAGACACATAGAAACATTTGAGTATTATATTTATTATATTTATTATATTCATTATATTTATTATATTTATTATATTTATTATATTTATTATATTTATTATATTTATTATATTTATTATATTTATTATATTTATTATATTTATTTTATTTATTATATTTATTATATTTATTATATTTATCATATTTATCATATTTATTATATTTATTATATTTATTGTATTTATTTTATTTATTGTATTTATTGTATTTATTGTATTTATTATATTTGTCATACTTATTATATGTGTCATATTTGCTATATTTATCATATTCATTATATTTATTGAAGAAGCAAGATGAAGTGAATTCGATTACATTTTCTTTCCTTATCAGATCTACCTCTGTGACGTAATGTTTATGTTGTGCCTGTTAATTGCGTGTCTGTCTGTGTTCCCGCCGCATACTTTGGTCTTCCCTAGTGTACTTGGTTCTGCCTTGTTATAACCGTTAAAAGAATGTAAACAGACATCTTACCTTCGTCGCAGAATGGACCAGTCCAGCCGACGTTACAAACACACGTGCCTTCTGCACTTCCCGTGGTACAGTTTCCCCGGCCGCTACAAACTCTGTCTGAAACAATGTCGATCAGCGCGCTGTGTTCCATGTGAGGAGGGTAGCTGCAGGTAGGGGCATCGCGAATTGAATAACGCGGTACACGTCCCGTCGTCATTATATCCTGTAAACTACAGTCACACCTCCAGGGGTTCCCAGTTAGGGTAATGGCCGTGTTGACAGAAAGACGTTTGATGTCTGCGGGCAGAGTCTGTACATTGTTGTTACTCAGCAATAACTCTCCGAGGTTTATAAGCTGGGGAAAAAATCCAACAGGGAGACTTGGAATCTTATTGTTGGACAGGTCAAGGTGTATCGAATTGGTCAGAGTTGAGAATATTCCATCCGGGAGGTCAGCTATGTGATTATCAGATAGATTCAGCCGATACAAACGGGGCAGATGTGAGAAAACTCCATCCGGGAGATCAGCTATATGATTATCAGATAAATCCAGCCGCCACAGACGGGTGAGATGTGAGAAAACTCCAGCGGGGAGACGCGAGATGTTGTTGTTGGACAGGTGAAGCCATTCTAATCTGGTCAGATTTGAGAACACTCCATCCGGAAGATACGCTATATGATTATCAGATAGATACAGCCCCTTCAGACGGGTGACATGTGAGAAAACTCCAGCGGGGAGACTCGAGATGTTATTGTTGTAAAGGGACAGCCATAATAAACTAGTCAGATTTGAGAATATTCCATCCGGGAGATCAGCTATACGATTATTAGATAGGTCCAGCTCCTTCAGACGGGTGAGATGTGAGAAAACTTCAGCAGGGAGACTCGAGATGTTATTGACGGACAGGTAAAGGCGTTCCAAACTGGTCAGATTTGAGAATACTCCATCAGGAAGATCAGATATATGATTATCAGATAAATTCAGCCGCTTCAGTCGGGTGAGATGTGAGAACGCTCCAGCAGGGAGAACGTGGATGTCATTGTTGTGCAGATAAAGCCTCTCCAGGCTGGTGAGGTTGGAGAAATCAGCATCAGACAGATTCTGTATGCTGTGGTGCCGTATGGTGAGAGATGTTGTATCCAGTGGTATATTGGCGGGAACTTGTTTGAGCCCCCCACTATCACAGTAAACAGACGTGGCAATGTCACAAACACATTTCTCCGGGCAGGTGAAGACAGCCGTGACGACCCACAGGAGACCGAGGACACCGACTGCAGCAGCTCGGCACGTCACGCGGCACCCAGCACCCTGCATGCTGCTGATTCTGCAGGCATAATAACACCCAGAATCAACCACGTGTCGTGGTACAATTTCAGATATTTGATGTGATGATGTTTTCAACTTTATTTTGCAGACAGGACGTTTTGTTTGATTTAGTTGATTGATTTTGATGTGTACACCAGCTCAATATATATGTACCTTTGTCCTTTCTTATTCTTCTTATTACTTTGTTTTATTGTTTCCTTTCAAGTGTGAGGAGAGGGCTGACATAAGTTTCATAACTTTTTGCCCAATCCTCGAAAAATACATGTGAACAAGAAGCCATAGGTGACAATCCTCCGTGAAGTTTTATATTTTGCAACAAAAATAATCCCAAGCGTCAACGCCAGACCTACTGTGCAGACATAAGGCAACGGTTAATACAATGAGGGCGCGTCACAAGCATAAAACATAAAAAAGACCTAAATCCATTACTGCTCTCAGGGCGTGTAAATATACTGTGCTTCAAGTTCGAAGTTCATTTTAATTAGACACACACAATCATTGCATTCACATAAAGATCGGACTATCATGGTCGTGTCACTAGTAACAAAGACAGCCCCACCGTCTTACCGTGCCTGTTACTTATTAAGCGCGACTGGCAAATTCGAGCAACAGTTGCGGCAAGCACCGCGAGTGTTACTGCCGTGGTACCACTTATCGGCCCCTCACCATCTGCCTGAAGTTCCACCCCCCCAAAAAAACGGCTCTTCACAACACTCCGTCCGGAGGTCCTGACCTCCTTCACGGAGTAATAAAATGAAATACAATTTCAGAGTCTGACAATGGCTTACCGGCACAAATGATTCATTAAATCTTGCAAAGTTCATTTTGTAGTCAGTTTGTTGTATGATATACAATCTATTCTTTCCCAAGTGCAGCAAAACGTTCAGTTTCATCTTCTAATCAATATTATCACTGATTTCTGTGACATTAGTTGCACAAATCAAACTGGAAAACTTTAACTTTCTTTAATTATTCTACCAAACAAAACAGACCGTCTAATTCGTCATCAAGTGCTGTACAGTGCTATTGATACTTGATATATGTCTTTTTTTAACTGTTCTTGGCTCAAAAAAAGTCCAAAGACAACGGATTTACACACAGTGCATATTGTGACCAGATATTAAACATCCCACCTCTCAAATCTTGTTGTCCAGTATATCTTAAAGCATGTCACTAGTTTTTTAATGTCCACACTCCTAACCAATTGCTCCTAAAAGATTAAGCTTAAATTTAGATTTTTGGATTCAACAAAGACAAAAGTGCAACGCTGTAAAAAAAAACTCAGAATTCTGTGAATTTTAATAAAAATGAGCCCATGACATACTATTATATGACGACTAACCCTGACTATTTAGATCTTACTCGGCGCAATCCATTCTTCAATACACTTTTTAGGGATTTTGTTCTTGTTGATGATATTGAATTGAACAATCGCAACACGCATATCTCGGGCCATTTTCCTGGTTAAAGACGCTAATTTAGGATGTATCTCCGAAAGAGCTCGTAAGCACGGACGCACACCATGCAAGCGTTGTATTAATTTCTAAACAGATAAACGTTAGAGAAATATGCAGGCGTTGGTAACAATAATGTGGCACTGATTAACAGGGGAACATCTATTAGTGCTAACGAACCCACCTGTAGCTTGATATTCTGACACAGCAGGAAGAGAAACTGCCTTCCCCGCAGCCCCGTGTGGACTCCACCTCTGTATGCTGTGGCCAATATACAGTTGTCACGGCAAAGGGGACGCTGCGATGGGCGTGATGTCACCGGGGCGGGATGCAATTAGCTCAGCTGGTAGCGCAGGAAAAAGCATTTCATAGAAAGTAATTTAATAGATTACGTAGGATGGCTAGAGGCCACGCCGATTTAATATTCTGGTTCCAAGAAAAATAGAATTAAAATGTACCAAGAAAGTCAACTAGATAGCTAACATTTCCAAAGCAAATGTTTGTTTTTCGTTGAAGACGTTCATCAGTCATATAGAATTAACATTTAGTAGAAATTCTTCGATCAGTTTACGTTTACCTTTACATCGTCTAGCCTTACCAGGCTACTGATATGATGCTCTGTTTATTTTTACTCAAACAATTCACTTATACGGTTAACAATCCTTTCAACCTTGTCTTGTCACCTGCTACATAATGTAATTCAAAACCATAGGGTGTCTGCTACAACACCAGTTACAATCATAGTGAAAGCCGCTTGGTCCAAGTCATTGACCTTATTTGTTAGGAGACTAAGAAGAAACTAAGCAATTGTTCTCCTTCAACATATTTATAACACGGGGAATGGGATTTTAAAAAATCGTAGGCAGTTCCAACATGCTTTCCCTGGCCTTTTATACGCTGTTCTCTTGCTTCATCTTTGCTTTAAATTCTTAGGGAAGCCAAGAAACTGCTTAATATAAACCCAGAAGTACATACTTATAGAGTTTTGTTGACTAAGGAGCTACACTGACACTGGAAAATTTGACCATCATAGATTAACACTAGGAAAAAAGAATATGTATCTCTACAATGAAAGGTTTCAATTCCAGAAATGAAAAAAAAAACAGATCGAGAGAGGTTTTGCTTTTGACTGATGACTCAGTCGTCATGTCATGTCCAGAGGCAGTTGATTCAATTTGATTCAAGCCAGCAACTCAAGAATTCCAGTGACATCGATTTTTGTTGGTAAAATGCTTTTAATCGAGAGTATACTGATGTTCTATAATTGAATTTCTTAGTTATTTTCTCTCTATAATCAGCTTCTGCCTTTCTACCATAGACCTGTAAAGTGATATCAATAATGTTAGCGGCCGCCTATCACCATCATCATCATCTTTCATCCTCCGTAGAGGTGGAGCATACAAAGTTAGCTCGCCAAAACGGTTTGTCATACATCACAGAGATAAGTTCCAGGCCCTCCAGGCCTGTTTAAGCTTCAATAAGTTTCTTAAGTGTCATGTTGGGACGTCCAACTCTTCTCTTTGAAACAGGGTTCCAGAGTAGAAGCCTACTGGCTGGTTCTTCACGACCGGCCAAGCTTAGTCTTAAATACTGTAGTTACATTTGGTACCGAACCGTTTAATTATCCATTAGTAGTATGTTTCCACCATGGTGTATTGAAAATTACTCGCAGCATCTTAGTGTATGTCCCGTTTAGTTTTCTAGAATGTGACATATTCATAACCCACGATTCTGACCCATACAAAAGAATTGTTTCAATACGTGCCTTAAATACTTTGGTCTTAGTTTGTTTTGTAATGGGCGCTTTCCAAACCTTATGTAATGAGTGAAGAGCACTCCATAACTGTGCGATCCGCACATCCATATCATGAACACTGTCAGAGTACCCTCCTAAGTAAATATTTGAAATCCGCAACATATTCGATTTCAGTACCATCAGTGGCGAAAAGTAAACTGACAGTAGTTGGGTTTAGGTGCATGAACTTTGTCTTGGAAGCGTTCAAGTATAAGCCTATTTTTTGACATGAAGTTTCAACTTTTGTAAGAAGATTTTGTGCATATTTTATTGAGTTTTCCAATAAAGCAATATCATCAGCAAAATCGAGGTCTGGGAGGGTTTCAGCTGGGTATCGTCGGCTCCGACGACGACTGAGAGTAAGCCCGTCTGATTCAGAAATCGACGACCGGAGCGCATAGTCGAGGCAAATAACAAAAATGAAAGGGGCCAAAGGATCGCCGTGCAGGACTCCAGTGTTAATGCTAAATGCATCGGTTTCTCCCTCAGGAGTAGTAACCACTTCACTGGTGTCCTCGTACATGACTCTAATAGCGCTGACGACCTCCTAAGTGTCAGATAATTATATCACAAAGACATTACCATGATTCCAATATGGTTTTACCCAGACATAAGAGCCTTAACATTTACAACTTAACAGCTTTATATCAGCGTGATGGAACATGATGGAAGAGCACAATTTGCTAATTCACAGGGATAGAAGGTTGATGATCATGAGTCAGTACTCTATAGGACATATACTAAAGTGGAAACTGGTAAATATCACCTGACAAGTAAATATATTGGTTCATCAAATATAGAGTATAAGTCAGCAATTCAAGCGGTCAGGTGATCTTAACAACAATCTAAAAAGCAATTGTATTTTATAAGTATACCCATAAGTGATTTATAAGATATAAATCCATTGGTTCAAGTGTAAATCTTAACAATTACTTAATATGCATTTGTATTTTATAAGTATGTCTATAAGTAATTTATAACTGATCCCTGCCAGACATTGCTACGTATGAATATTGCTTTGTACAGGACTTGAGTAATTGTCCTTGGAATTTTTAATGATTGAACACGCCAATATTAACGCTGTATTATATTGTAACGATTTTAACTGTAAATGTGTAACTACTTAAGTTAGACTGACACGTCTGTAAAATCGCCTCACAATTCAGCCCGTTACGGCTGCCAGGAGGCATTCATGTAACAACTAAAGTTCTAATAAACCAGTACTACTACTACAATATCTGTGAGAACCCATCTACATCTATGAGTTTCTGAACAACACCCTCATGGGGCCTCACGTTCAGTTGCACGGCATATGCGGCCTGGTGGGGTGCTGGTGCTCATAAAAAAAAAAAAAAAAAAAAATAAAACA